GGACACTTAGGATTTGTAATGAAAATCAATCCATGAACTAAAACCTGAAGTATTATTCTTACACATTGATTGTCTCTGGCACTGGTACCCAACCAGGCATCCCTGGGAATGTGTAACTCCCTGTCAAAAGTGGACTGTGACTCTTTTTTTTTTAATAAATTTTATTTTTATATTCCCCATACAATTGCAACCCCCTTATTTTGACCCCAATCCCTCCCCTCCCCGCCCCCCAACCCCCATAGAGTGTCTCTGGTTCATAGGTGTTTGTTGATTTTGATTTTCACTTTCTTATAGTTATTCATTTTCCTGGTCCCTTATTTAAGTTTTCTAGATTCCTGCTATGAGTGAGACCATCCGGTATTTTTCTTTTTCTTTCTGGCTTATTTCGCTGAGCATGATCCCTTCCAGCGCCATGTGACTCTATTATTACTTCCTTGTTCTGAGCACTAGATGTCACACTAAGTAAAGTTTTATAAGTTACTCTTCAAAGTAGGGTGTGACACAGTGTCTATACCTTAGCTATGAAAAGCCCTGGCTTTGTATTTCTAGTAGAATGTAATAAAGGTATAATTTCACCTTGACGTCACCTAACAAAAGAATTCAGAAAAAAGAATTTTCAATCTGCAAATATACTTGAAAGAACCTTAAATATATGCAACTCTTTGATACCAGTTACACCTCAGTAAAGCTGTTGCTGCTGTTGCTGGTGGTGGTGTGTGTGTTTGGAGTAACAGCCTTTTGTAATATCTGTTACGTAGACACATTCCATTTATATGTGCATTTAAATGAAATTTCCTTCCAAAAACTGGGTGATTTTTCAAAGGACAACTTATACAATCATCTGTGATCACTTGTGTTCTGAGATGGTGAGAAGCTATTCTTAGCTGAGAAAAGAATCAAATGTGGCCCTAACCTACAGAGGGTAGAAGTGAGGGAGGAAACTGTATTTCTTAAGGCCTGAAGCTCTCAAGGAAGGGTGTGCAGTCCCCTCTCTTGTTTGGCTAAATGAAATAAAATGGAGGAGAGGTCTCCTCCCAGCCGCCTGAAACTCGTGGATTCTTTGTTGTCAGTTCTCAGAAATCCAGGGAATAATCATAAGTTGACATTTTATATGTGCATTATTTCCTTTTGGATTAAAAAAATGTGTTTTTAAAAGATGGCAAGGAACATGGGCTCAGTATGTAAATAAGTTGGATTATTAGATCCTATAACTTAACGATATTACTGAAATGCCAGTGAGTTTTCAAGGAAATGCTTAGAATTCATTGGAAACTGCAGAGGACTCAAGTCTTAGGTTTAACAGTAATAGTCCATCTTTTTTTTAATTTTAAAGATTTATTTTATTTATGTATACAAGAACTGGGGTGTAGGCCAGAGGTGCAGGGGAGGGAGTGTGTGTGAGAAGATTCACCAGAGACAGAGTGGGGAGCAGAACAGGCAGATCTACTGAAATACACTGCTGAGGGGAGCAGGGGTGAGTCAGGAGAGGTCTGCTGTGCCATATGGGTAAGCTCCCTGGCCAGGGGATCGAACTCATGCTGCAGTGGCTGGGGATAGCTTCATCATGCTGAGACTTAACCCCTGCATCACTGGGGAGGCCCAATAGTGCCTTTTTTTTTTTCCAAGTAATTCAATGAGTTTATATTGATTTTTTACACAATTTGTAAGTTTTTTTTTTTTAACTTTATAAGTAATACCAGTTTTTCTAAGTGTTTTGTAATGTCTTTTACTCCCGAAGGAATATGTGACAGTCCAGTTGTTCTATGGCCTCATAATACTTGGCTGGGGAGCAGCCCGGGATCGAAACTGCGCTGCAGAGGCTGCGGGCAGCTTCGAAACCCAGCGCTCAACCGTTGCGCCACCGGGGAGGCCCTTCCCTTCCTTTTTAATCTCCCCCTCCCTTTTAATCTCAAGAGCCCACAAGATGTTCATTAACTTCCACTGGTTTTTGAAAGTGTTTCACGTTATCAAATTACCTGCTATATAAATTTCCAATATTTGTTTTTATCATTCTGACTGGCTTTGCTGCACGTTTCTCTCAAATTCCCTCCATTTTGTTGGAAATTGTTGCATTTCAGCCGTTCTTATAGCTATGGCCTACTCAATAATGAATTTCAATTGTGTCTAATGATCTATACATAAATATAAACATATTTCTGTATGTTATTAATGTAAACATTGCAATAATGTCTCAGGGCTTTTTAGACAGTGTATCATGTCAGGTGATTCCCATTGGATATAATTAGTCCTATCTGTTTAGTAAAGACCCCTGCCCTGATTATATTAAAATTGTTCTGATAAATGAAGTTACAATTGTTAAAATACTACTTGGGCCTGTGATTCATCTACTTTTTTCTTATACATATTTTTTTTTAATTTCTTACATCATTGTTCATTTTTGTACAGTGTTAGCTTTCTCCCCTCATGTGTAGTCCCCATAATTCTCCTGCCACCTCAGCACCTGTGACCATCACCACAGTCCCTTGTGCTCTTCCCTCCCCTGTTCTGACTCCTCTCTCTCCCCTTCCCCTGCTGGATACCTCAGATCTATGGTTTGCCTGCAAGTTTTTGTCTTTTTCCTGATCCTTTGTTCGGTGTCTGTATATTCCCCCTGAGTGATCCCATCTGTTATTTTTCTTTTTCCTTCTGAATCATTTCACTGAGCACAATCCCTTCCAGCACCATCCATGTTGCTGCAAATGACATGACTTCGGGCCTCCCCAGTGGCGCAGCGGTTGAGCGCTGGGTTGCGAAGCTGCCCGCAGTCTCTGCGGCGCCGGTTTGATCCCCGGCTGCCCCCCGGCCACCAGAGGAGGGTCCCACATGGTGCGCAGACCTCTCCTGCCACCCGCTGCTCCCCTCAGCAGTGTACTTCGGTCCTTCTGCCTGCTCTGCTCCCCGCTCTGGCTCTGGTGAATTCTCTCGCCCTCCCGCGCTTCTGACTGTACCCAGTGCTTGTATAAACAAAACGAACAAACAAATAAATAAATAAATAAAACATGCCTCTATTTAAAAAAAAAAAACAAAAACAAATGGCATGACTTCATCTTTTTTGATCACTGAGTAGTATTCCATTGTGTCTATATAACACATCTTCTTGATCCATTTGTCTGCTTGGAGGCATTTGGGTTGTCTCCATATCTTAGCTATTGTAAATAGTGCTGCAGTAAGCACAGGAGTGCAGGTTTCCCTTTGAATTAGGGTTTTTGTGTCCTTTGGGTGGATTCCCAGGAGTGGAATCACTGGGTCATATGGTAGATCCATTTCTAGAATTTCCATAGTGGCTGACCAGTTTGCATTCCCACCAGCAGTGTAAGAGGGTTCCTTTTTCTCCACATCCTCCCCTATTTTTTTCCTGTTCAGGAGGATAATTGGTCATTTTAACAGTGCCTTCTGCAGCTAAGTGACCTTCTCATCCTCTGACACTTGGGACTTTTCCTTCATTTATTAATATTACTGCCTTACTGCTGTCTTGGGGCTTACCAACCTGAGGATACACAAGTTCTCCAGGGTGCCAAGGGGCAATGAGTGCTGTGATTGTTTGGGGAAAGGGTGTCCTGAACAAACTCCACAAACAGGTTTTGTAGACCCCATCCCCACCCCAGACCAAAGAGAACAAAGACACCAAGGACTACAAATCCCATAATGTCACCACCAGCAAAGGGGAAATTGCTGGGAACTGAGCGTGGAGGTAAAGCAGCCAGGCTTGGTTGATAACCAGACACATGGGCCTTGGCGGGGGTGTTTTTTCACTGTTTTCCAGTATACCATTAGGGTCCCAGCCCAGGGGAACTGGTAAAATGCATTCACCAATTTTCTCTCTTTCTTCCTGGGTTATCCTTTCTTCATTTCTCCTTTTTTTGTAAATAAATCCTTTATTAACCTTTTTGTGTTGGCCTGTAGTTGAGTCTCATTAAATCCCTTTGAAGCACCCAGGTGAGGACCCACAGTCAGGCCAACCCATTTCACTTTGGGGTTGCCCTGTAACATGAAGATGGCATCCTGTACTGTTTTTCCTTCAAGAGCTAAGTCACTTAGAATCTTCAGTAAACTATTCATTTTTGTTGCTGTTCAGTTTGGGAACTCTGAGAAAAGCTATATAGTTCATCTAAGGAGGGAAAAAAAGTCCCAGAAAAAAAACGTAGACAAGACTATTTCTCTTTCAAGCGAACAGTTGTTTTGGGCCCGGGGGCGGGTGGAGATGAAAATGTCAGCTCTGTATTTACCAAATCGTTATTGAACACCCACTGTATATTTACCAAATTGTTATTGAGCACCTACTGTGCAGGGCTGAGGAGGGATAAATACTGTCCCTGCTTGCAGGGAATAAAACCAGTGTCCTTCAAGCCGGCTGGCCATTCTCACAGCTTGTGATGTGGCTGTTGCTGCCGAGACGCCTGGCGGAGCTGGTGGTGCTCTTCCTGGTTTGCCCACTGACTCGCCTTTGGATTTTGACAGCTCAGCTCCAGATGTGATCTCTGTGCTTAAGGAATGACTAACATTTTGAAAGAGCGTGTTTAGGCGCCATTATTTTAATTCAACACATAGTAATTGAGTTCTTGCAGAGGGTTAGGCCTACTAGAAATAGACAAATGAACACTGAATACCTACATTCTTAGAAAAGAGTAAAGAAGATAAGTACACTATTCACAGAGAATATTTTTGGTTTGGAATTCCAGGTGCTAGATAGTGTGAGAGGCAAAAGGGAATAATAAAGCATCTGCAAGCACTTTATATTCATTTATCTCATCTGCCCCTCAGAACAACCAATGAAGAAACTGAGTCACTGAGAAGTTGGGAAACTTCTCCAAGGTCACCCCAATAAGCAGTGACAAAGCTGAGCTCAGATTGGAACCTCTAGCTGAGGGATTGCAAAGTCTACACTTTCTTCCAGTAAGGATATGTCCCCAAGCTCATAATGGCTCTGGGAGATCAACTGTAGCGTTTGCAAACTGTGGATTTTTCTTGTATCTGTGAGCCATATTCATATTTCCTGACAGGTCACGGGCTGACAGCAGTCAAGGAAAAAGCAGGGGCCACCCTACGGATTCATGGTGTAAATTCTGCCTCTCCTGAAGAGACCCAGCCTGACACAGAGAATGGAGTCCCTCAAAGTGAGTGATGTATTTATTTGGGGAGCGGGAGAGGTATTTCTTGGACTTGGACATTATTACACTATGTGCACAAATAGATTTTCGAGTTCAGATCAGCAAAATGAACTCTAAAGGCTGTCTTCCTCTTCAGCAGCAGATGCACCCACAGATCAGAACTCTGCAGAAAACCCATCCACTTCCCCTTCATCAGGGTCTCGGGGTGTGCTGTCAGCCATCAGCAACGCGGTTCAAAACACGGTAAGTCATTAGCGGGCCCCTCTGTTCTCCCTTGTGCCTCCTAGCACCTCCTTTTGATATTTCTATTTACCAGTGACCTACATACACCAGAGAAAGGATGGCCTTGCTCATAACTTTGGATTATGGTTTAGTTATGCTTTCTCCTGCCGAGTAGGCGTAACCTTGGAACCAAAATAATAGGGCAAAATGAAATGCATTTTATGTTTAAAAGAACAGAGCTGCTTAGAAGGGATTTTTTTTTTCAGTCTGATGTGACCGTGTCCTTTCAACAATTGCTACAAGGACAGCCTCTGGCGGAAGGTAGAGAGGACGCTTTCTTACAGCTGGGGCAGCTTTTTTTCTTAAATGGTTCTATGTCACTTAATCGTCAATTTGAAAAAGTATAAAGCCATTCAAATGAAAAAAAAGTCCTGGTAAGGATTCAAGAACAAACGTCCAGAGATGTTTCTGATTCTTTTCCCCAAACTACCTCCCATTGCTCCCTCTCCCCATTCCTTGAATAACAGCTTATATCTCCCAGCCCCTGCAGTCCTTGCCTGCCTCTTAAAGAAGCTCATTATTGGCAACAAAACACTGATGAATACTGAAATAAGGGGGAGGCATCCTAACAAAGATAAGCCAACTAGCTGATCTCCATAGTTAGGAAGAAAGGTTATTTTCTGCTATATAAAGCCAACTTACTGGTTTTTCCAGAAATACAGTTCATGTACAGTTTATTCATTCCCAAATTAGGAAAGAGGTGATTAGCCCTTCCTGTGCAACAGGAGATAGGCCAGGTGCTCAGTATATATTGACCAGCAAGATGACACAGTGTCCTGAGACAGAGACAACTCAAAGAGCAAATCCAACGCAATCTGAGAAGGTGAGCTGTGGACACTTAGATGAGGGTATTCTACCCAGACTTTTGGGGCCAGGGCCTGCCAGAAATAGAACATAACCACTCCTCTCCTTGCTCCTTGAGTGTTTCTAGACTAAGTAGAGTTAAGGAGGAGCAGTAAACATGTTTCAGGCAAATAGCACTATAAGTCAAATACAATTATGGCAAAGTTAGAAGTGCTGGGAATGGATATATCTGGCTTAAGAAATGAATTCAGGGTCTCCCTGGGCTGCAGTGTGGAGTATTGGAGCTTGTCTTCAGCATGCTTACGCACCTTTCTATGTCCTCTTCAACCTTTCCCCAAGCTCTATAACCACCACCCCCCTCACCCAACCAGGTTTGCCCTGATTGGAAAGTCCCTGTGTCCTTTCTCCTTCCATTTTATTCTCTCCTAAAGAAATTCCCCATGAGATTTTAGGAGAAAATAAATCAAATTATGCAATCATGTGAATTGCTGATGTCCCATAGTCCTCCAAAAGGACATGTATTTTAAAATCTGTTCTATTTTGTCATTATTGGGTGGCTCCCAAATAGAAAAGGAAAGTCTAAATGTCCAAGGTAGAAATGGCAATAAATGAATGAATTCCAGTGAAATCAAACATTGCTATTGAAGTGATCATTATGAAGATTAGAAAATGCACATAAATAATAAAATACAGTACATGTAAATTCACATAAAGTGGGGAAAAGCACAGATGTGTGTAGATTGTAATTGCAGCTGTTCAGCGGAGTGCATTTACCGAAGTTGCGAAGAAGTGTAAGCAGTTCTGTTTGTAAGAACAGTTTGTGAGTAAATCTTGGTTGTTTTAATCTTTTTTTTAAAAAGGAAAACAATAGCTGACAAAGGGATTTGCAGTTAGATAACTGTATAATAGAACAGTTTCCAAAGCCAGTAATATATGGAAATCAACCTGTCTTATTCCATGAATATACTAATTATAGGCCATTATTGCTAGTTTCTGAAAGTCTGCAAGAGCCTTCTGAAACAGCCTGAGGCACCTACACTCCAGGCCCCATGACTGAAGAATTCCCTAAATTGGCAAGAGTATCTGACATTTCAGTAGACAACTCCAAATAATTCTGTTACTTGGGTTAAGATTTTTTTCAAATAAAAACAGCAGTTGGGTCACCTATTACTCTTATGTCTTAGATACATATCAATACACACAGAGCCAGTAAAATTAATCCTAAATATGCCTTGGTTTTTCCTAAGCATCATTTTTTAATAATAATTTATGTCTTTCAAATTATATGACATATGCTCTTCCAATGAAAAGAAAATAGGATTAAATGGATGATAAATCTGATGAGAAAAATTGTGACTTTATATTAATTTTTATATTTGAAGATAGTTCCATCTAGGAGTTGCTGACTGCTATGAGACAGCAAAATGTAAAAGTCTAATCTCATGCAATTTTCTCATCTGCAGGGTAAAAGCGTCTTATCAGGTGGTCTAGATGCTTTGGAATTCATTGGCAAGAAAACCATGAATGTCCTCGCAGAAAGTGATCCAGGCTTTAGACGAACCAAGACTCTCATGGAGAGAACTGTCTCCTTGTCTCAGGTTGGATTATATGCTTTTGCAAAGTTTTCTTTTGGTCAAATAAAACAAATTAGTGTTTATGTTTTCCAAAAGTTATATTAAAACACAATATTCAAGTTCAAATAATACAAAATAATTGAGAGTAAATATTGAGTTTCTAGTACAACTTTTTCCCCAGCCACTTAGTTCTTCATGGAAAACTACCACTATTAACAGCTTGTTATGGATACTCTCAGAGAGATATAAATATACATGCCTGTATATATGTATTATATACTTTTTCAACCCAATTATTACACCCTTTTGTACCTCGCTGTATTCCTTGAGTAATTTCTTGATTCCATTCTTGATTCAGGTTGCTATAACAGAATACCATAGACTGGGTAGCTTGTAAACATTCATTTCTCAGGGTCTGGAGGCTGAAAAGTCAGGCTGTCTTCTCGCTCTGTCCTTGCGTGGCAGATAGGGGTGAAGAGGCTCTCAACCTTTAGTAGGAAGGCACTAATCCCAGTCATGAGCACTCTGTCTTCATGATCTAATCATGCCTGCATTCATTTTTTTCACATCTGCATTCAGTCCACTGCTAAAAGTTGGAAAGCTTGTACAAATGGATTTTTGGCTAACAACCTCAGGAACCTAAAAGGAAAATGACAATAACTGTTTTATTGACACATAATAAAAACCACAATCTGTTGTCCATGAACTTTCCTTGTGACCTTGTAGTGACCACAGTGTTTACGGTGCTCTCTACAAATATTAAAGGACCCTATAAACTTAATGCCCCCATAAACTTGATGAGGAATCAAATAATAGATTCTCAGAATCAGAGAAAGCAAGTGTAGGAAATTGGAGTGACTAATGGACTTGTGTTCATTTTGTTGTTTTTTTAATTAATATATAATAATAAAAAATAAGTAGAGAAAAATTACCAACATGGAGAGAAATCCAGTTTACAGTAATACTTTCTAGAGACCAATCTAAGGATTGATAAGCTAATAGTATTATTTATATTAAGTAACTGGTGAGGAATACATTATGAGCTTATATTTTATTAATTTTTTCATCAAAGATGTTTAGTAACCATATACAAAATTTTTTAATTAATGTAACTCAGATTAAAAAATGAGAGCAGCTTAATTCTGTTTGCAGCCTACCTAGGAGCTGAAAGTGTAATTAATCCTGTCCCAATAGATTAAACTTCCCCAATATACATAACATTTGCTCATTGTAGAAAGTTTGAACATTTTAGAAATAAGAAAATTAATCACACACACAAAACACAGTGGTGGAAACCACTGTTAAGTTTTTCTGATTCTTTCCAATCCTTTTCCCAACAATAGAATTTTGCTTTGTTTTGTCATATATGTAATGAATGTGGAAAATTCAACATGGAATATTATATAAAAATTGCCGGTAGAATCAACCAAAATTGTCATATTTTAGAAACTCCAAGGTGACTAAAACCTACCCTTCTTCTCAAATACAAAGTCAATCCTCATTTGCCCTACGTCTTACACAGGAAATGGGACTTCTAAGCATATTTTGGTTGTAAAAACGTGTGTTTCTGCAGATGCTAAGGGAAGCCAAGGAGAAAGAGAAGCAGAGGCTGGCTCAGCAACTCACAGCCGAGAGAACTGTACACTATGGGACCCTGTTCGATGAGTATCAAGGTTTGTCACACCTGGAGGCCCTGGAAATTCTGTCCAATGAAAGTGAAAACAAGGTATGGCTGCACCGGTCCTTTGAAATAACATGTTCATTGATGTGTTTTCTTAAACATGAAAGAAACTGGAAAATATGTCGTTAAAATACGTCATTTTTACAGCCTCATTATTATGAGTCACCAATACTGTATAACCTCCTGACTCCCTCTTACTCTATATTATTTTTCCTCTGTCCTGGGCCAACCTAGTGCCCTTCCACGGCCCCAAGGGGCCAGCACAAGAATCCACTAACCCCAACTCCTGGTGCAAAAGGCTGCTCAAAACATTGGCTGTCAGGCCCCTGGCCCTGTGTCTCCCCTGAAAATGTGATGCCCAGATCAAAGACGCCCTGCCAGGTCATATCTTCATTCTGATGCAATGAAAGCTGATATGTCTTCCAGATTGCAGGAGTTTAACATATTTAGTTCTATGGGTCAGACAGTTATTCATCACTTGTTAGAATGCCTGGGCCACAAGGGACCAGGGTTACTTTCTAGGAGTTAACATTCCATTTGGGATTGCTCCAGAACAGAAGCCTGAACAATGCCCTGCACATTCACACTTCCCCACTGTGACCCCACGAAAGCAAAACATGAACAGCAGACATCAGCAAGGCTTGGTGATTTTTTCTTTTGTGAAAGGATCTATATGGTGTGTGTGTGCGCTTGTGCTCACTAAACATGTATGGAGCCTATAACGTCACTAAGCACTCTAACTATTAACTCATTTGATTATATAAACAGTTTCTTTGGGTGAATGTCTGGCTGGGCTCTGGGCCATGCCAGTGACAATCACTGTGCAGATGCAGGTCCTCAGACAGGAAGCTGAACTTGGACATGAGTTTAGAACGGAAAGAGATTTCTTTTACTTACTCTAAGCCCTGTTCTCTTACAATTGGCCTTTGAGGAGGTTAAGACCATCTTGAGACCCACCTAGTGGAGAAGGAGGTTCTCTGCCACATACCAAGAACCTAGTAGGATGGAGACACCCTCTCACTCACCCCAGCTTATAAGTTATGTGTTTCAGTGTTTATTTCCTTTTTTGTTATTGAGTTGAAATAGAGATGCAATGCACATCACTGTGGCTTAATGGAACTAGGAGGAAGCAAAAGAGGTGTTGTAATAGGAAAAGGCTGACAAAACACTCCTTGGCTAAAAGGAAACTTTCCTGGAGATACCAAAAGCATAAAACCCCAATGAATTTCACTCCCAGATGATGGCTACCCTCCAGAAGACAAGGGGAACCAGAATGTTCAATGGATGTATATATATAACACTGCATTATGCTCTAGCACTCTTGTAAACTCTTTGAGAAGCATGCACACAACACATAATATGAAGCACAGGAGTATGATCTGTGCCTCTCGAGGCCCTAAGCCCTAACGTGAGTACAGGAGCTGAAATGAAGACTCTGACAAGGTCAGGGCAAGAAGGAGTGGGGCAGCCTCGCCAGGGTGCCTCTGCTTCCACCCGCTGAACTCCTTGCCTAATGAGTTTTCTGTTGATGACTTCCTGCAGAGCTTCCTCCAAGAGCCTTGGCGCCAGCTGCATTTCACCCTAGTAATGGGCATTAACAACTTGTAGGAAATGGGTTCTGGCAGCCAGCGTGCTCACATCTCCTGATGTGGGAATCCACCACCATCATGAATATTCAAGCACATTCCAAAGGAGGTTACAGCTCCTCTGTGGCTCACCTCCAGAGCAAGGGTTTGACTTGCAGAAGGAAAAATATATAAACTTGATGACATTATCATCATACTTCATTTTTTATATGACTCTCCATGCACTTTGATCATTTTGCAAATTCATATCAATCTTCAGATTCACAGGATAGCTGGTTGTCTGTATGAACAATGTTTGAAAGTTTACAAAAGATACTTTCATAAAAGGGGCTCTGAGGCAATGAGCAGAGAGGACTTCGGTTCTGGAACCATCTCTGTGTAGTCTCCTGCATGCGTTCTCACCTCCCCTTGGGACTGGCAGCTCTTTCCGTGATGCCCCCACTCACTTTCCAATCTCAGCTGCCATGGCTGTTATGGGTTGACTTGGGTCTCCCTCCTCTTGGTTACAATATTTTGAGGCAGAAAATGTGTCTGGTACATTTTTGTAGCTCTTGTATACAAAACTCACATCTAACAAGCACACGTACTTGTCTAGCTGCACATTCACTCCCATATCCACAGTGTCACTTCCCTGCAGTCAACCATGGTCCTAAAATGTACTGCACAATAAGATATCTTGAGAAAGACCACATCCCCATAACTTTTACTACAATATATTCTTATAATTGCTCATTTTATTATTAGTTATTGCTTAATCTAGTGCCTAGTTTGCAAATTAACCTTTATCATAGCATGTATGTATAGAAAACAACATGGGGTCAGTAGGATTTGGTGCTAGTCACAGTTTTCAGGCATTCATTTGGGTCTTGGAATGTGTCCCCTGTGGATAAAATTTGGACTACTGTGTATGTATAGCCTTATTTATTTGTTAGTTTACATGTACATACATATGTAAATATATATGTAATTATTATAAACTAACATTATAAACATCTCTTAAAGTACTTTTTTTAAAGATTTATTTATTTATTCATACAAGAACTGGGGTGTAGATCAGAGGTGTGGGGGATGAGGGATTCACCAGAAACAGAGTAGGAAGCTGACCAGGCAGATGTACTGAAATACACTGCTGAGGGGAGCAGCCCGTGAGGCAGGAGAGGTCTGCTGTGCCATGTGGGTAGCTCCCTGGCCAGGGTCCACAGTGGCTGGCAATAACTTGATAGTGCTGAGACTTAACCCCTGCGCCACCAGGGAGGCCCCCTCTTAAAGTACTTTTAAGTACATTATTTCATTTAACCTTGAAGACAACCCAAGGTCACATCATGAGTGAGGACCTGATAGTTGCATCCAGGTTTGACACTAAATGTGCCTTTAACCACTATAATGTAAGAGCTACCACATTGTTTATTTAGCGTCTGCTCTGTGCACTCATACAGTGTACTTCAAAGTCGGTATTTCATGCACCCCACAAAGGATCACAATGAAGTCTGGATCTCATTTTTAAAATGAGAAGCTGAGACCCAGGAAACTTATGTAACATACCCCAAAAAATGTAGTTAATAGGTAGTAAATCCAACACCCCACCCAGCATGCGCTCCTACACCACCAATCACCTCTCCTGGGAAAGCCTCACGTTATGGGGATAGCTGTGCTTAAACTTTATTAATGAGGAGAAAAGATGACAGTTATGTTGACCTATTTCTTTTTTCAGGTTCAGTCATTTTTAGCATCACTTGATGGAGAGAAGCTGGAAATCTTAAAAAATGACCTCATTTCCATTAAAGACATCTTTGCATCCAAAGAATTAGAGAATGAAGAGAATAAAAAAGAACAAGGTAGAGGAAAATAATGCATAAATAACAAACTGTTAACATAATTCTTAAGAAACAGCTGCTAACAAGCACAGGACACTGAACAAGGTGGAATTATTTCACTAAAGTCCTTCTCATCCCCACTTTCAAAACACTTCGTCCATCTGCTCTTATTGCAGGAGATGACCACATTGATTTATAATCCTCCCTTTGCTGGGTGGGATCTCCTAACAGGAGTCTTTATTTCTTCTGTGTCCAGTGCAACCCCTGGCACACCCAAGATGCACAATAAATCTGTGTGATGAATGAACAAGGAGTGCATGCAGTAAACAGGTCTTGGTGACTCAAGTGTATGTTCCAATGTCTATTTTTTTTATCTGCATGTGGAAGTTGTTGAATGTGATTGATGCTGATGGTGGACAGGTCTTTTTTATTTATAATTAAATTTATTTGTTTATTTTCTTACATCATTGTTCATTTTTGTGCAGTATTTGATTTCTCCAATCAGGTGTAATCCCCATAGTTTTCCCACCACCACAGCAAATGATCCATCGCCATAGTCCCTTGTGCTCTTCCCTTCCCTATTTTGAGTCCTCTCCCTCCCCTGCTATATGCCTTGGATCTGTGGTCAGCTTGCAGGTTTTGTCTTTTTTCCTGACCCTTTGTTTGGTTTCTCTATATTCTACATATAAGTGAAATCATCTGATAATCATCTTTTTCCTTCTGACTTACTTCATTTAGAATAATCTCTTCCAGCTCCATCCATGTTGCCACAAATGGCATGAGTTTACCTTTTTTGATTGCTGAGTGGTATTCTATTGCATGTATATACAACTTTTTGATCCATTCATCTGTTTGGGGGCATTTTGGTTGTTTCCATATCTTAACTACTGTAAATAGTGCTGCAGTAAACCCAGGAGTGCAGGGTTCCTTTCCAGTGTTTTTGTGTCCTTTGGGTAAGTTCCTAGGAGTGGAATTACTGGGTCATGTGGTAGATCCATTTTTAGTGTTTTGAGGAACCTCTGATAGTGGACAGATCTTTTTATTTTTTTAAAGATTTATTTATTTATGCATACAAAAGCTGGGGTACAGCCCAGAATTGCAGGGGGTGAGAGGATTCACCAGAGACAGAATGGGGAACAGAACAGGCAGAGTGACTGAAGTACACTGCTGAGGGGAGCAGCGGGCGAGTCAGGAGAGGCCTGCTGTGCCATGTGTGCTACTCCCTTGGCCAGGGATTGAACTCGTGCTGCAGAGGCTGTGGCTTGCTTCACGGTGTGGTGCTTAACCCCGTGCGCCACCAGGGAGGCCCTGGAAAGATCTTTTAATGGACTTCTTTTCATATCTTTCCTCTTCCTTTTAATATATATATATATAGTATATGTACTTTTATATATATAATATATTTTACTGCTACATATATATAATAAATATATGTAGTCGTATATAATATATATACTATTATATATAATATAATATAATTATAATAATTATATTATGATTATGTTTATATTTTTATAAATATTATAAAATATAAAAATATTTTAATATAATATATAATATAATGTATATTATATATTTATATAATATATAAAATAAAATAAAATATTATATTTTATTTTAATATAATTATATTTAGAATTATATTTAGAATTATAATTATATTATAATTATAATAATTATACTGTATTATATATTATATATACTATTATATATAGTATATAATATATATACTATATATAATATATGTAGTAGTAGTTAGAGTTTATTTGTAAATGGCCTATACTCCACCTAAAAAGTGCAGTTCTCCCCTAGGCTGTTCTGTTTTCCCACAGTGCACTGGGGCACACATGATGTGTCAGCCTGTCAATCACTGAACCAGCCAGGTGCACACTCCTGATAACATCCCAGCCAGGCAATGACTCCAAGGAGACCAGAACCTGCAATGTGAGATGGGAGGCTTCCTTGAGAGGGGAAACTGTTGGAACAGCTTAAAGATTCCCTTAGACATCCATAGGGAACAAAATTGAGCAAAACGTTTGCTGTGTACACAGAAAGTGATTTCTTACTGATGTCGTTACCAAGCACCACCACCACAGTTGTCTTATGGAGGTTCTGTTGAAAGGTCAACAGCCACAAACACACAAAGTAGCCTCTTCTAGGGTTATCTGAAAAGTCCCATTTGAAATATTTTCAACATCTGCTGTGTCACCTAGAACAAATTATATAACCTTCTGAAACTCAGTATCTGTACCTGTAACAAGGAAGCAATGTTTATTCCCAAGGGCAAGTGTGAGGTTCAAATTAGATAATACAAGTAAAAACACATCATGCAGTGGCTGGCACACAGAATTGCTGCTATTATTATTTAAAGTGCTAATACAATGGCAAGAAAATCATAAAGGTACAATAAATGGTAGCTTTTATTTATGATTGCACTTGTTATTACCCACACACGGGGTCGTGATAATGTGCACTCAGGCCGTCGACTCACTGAAGTATCTGTGCCCAGCATGTTATATACCTTTAATCAAAGCTGGAACACAAGAGCTCAAATGCTTCAGTCTCTATGCTCAAGGCAAAATTATTTTAAGCATTTGCAGACTGTCACTTAAATATCATCTCCTCTTTAGCCCCACATCCTGACCTTTTGTGCCTTCAGTTTAATGAAATTTATGCTCATTGCATCAAAATAAATGAATCAATTATACTGAAGCATAGCAAGAGACCAGTATCAATGAGGCAGTTGAGGGATGTTTTTGAGCACACAGTCTGAAATATATCATTTCTACAAAAGTCACAAAGGATGTTAGCTTTGTCTTTGTTTATAATGAAGAAACTAAGACCTTAATGTGAAAGGTCATGCAGCTAGGTTGTGGAGCCAAGATGAACTAATGTAGATGCCTCTTTTCTAGACTTAACAACCACCAAAAGGTAGACCTTGGTTCAGAGAGGATGCAAAGAGGACCCTAAAGTCCCCCTAACATCAAAGATGTTGCTACCAGTATAAGTGAAGAAGATAGCTTTGCATCCCCAACCAGTGCTATTTCTTGGAGAGAAAATTTGACTCAATGCTATTGAATAGAATATGTTACAACATGTGATGTGTTCCAGTCTCACTATAGATAAAGCTTCAGGAAGTTGATATCTTTGAATATGACCCCCAAAAAACCTGAAGTGCTAAACATATTACTTAAGAAATGGCAAATTAATCTCTCCTGAAGTCATAAACCCTTATTTCCTCCCCTGATATATCCATTTTCCCAAAGGGCATCTCCAGGTTATCAAAATGCTCTTCATTTTAAATTAATTTAATAAATGATCTCCTTCAGACACTTAAAGAAGAACAAAGAGAAAGGATAGTGGGGTTGTCGTTAAATCAATCTAGTTGTGATGAAGGTTTGCAGCTCCAGGAAGGTGGCAAGATTACCCAGAAGCTGTAGAGAGGAATCTTCTCAAGGGGACTGAGCACACAATCCAGGGGTATAAGTCTGGAAGAAACCAAAGCATTTTCATCATATTTTTTTCTCATAAGCACTTGTACTTCTAAAAGTCTCCTGATAACTAAATAATTTATTTGATAGTCTCAGAAAATGTAATAAACTGTCATTTTTTGTTAACTTTAATATCAGGCTCCTCTGCATTTAATAATGTTAGCTAATGATTTGCATGCTTGTCTAGCTCTGTGATTTTATCAGATTTCTATGGTTCTCTACTTTGGTTTGCCTCTGTTGTGAAGAGGCTTTCAATGGCTATTTCTTATTTTTACTGCCATGGTGAAGATCCAGTTGGCAATTTGTACAAACTAAGAGTTGTAAAGTAGATATTCTTTGTTGCCCCTTTTTGATCATCAATTTCTATCTACTTCCATTTTTCTCTATGATTTTCCCCCCTAAAATATTTGCCAAAAGTTATTAGTGTGTTTCCTTGCTCTGTAGAATGAATGCACATTTAAAAGCTGGAGGAGCCGCCCAAAGTACTTGTATTCTAATTTAGTGCTAATTACTCCCAAATACTGTTCATCTCCTTCTGCTTTTGTCTTTGCTGCACTTAACAATACAGTTACATAAAACTTTAGTGTTTGCAAAATACTTTCACCTTTGTTGTATTATTTGGTCCTGACAACAATGCTAAAGAGGAGATGGGTGAGTCCTAAATTTACAGACAAGTGGAAGCTAAGGTGCCCCGCGACCTGGCCCACATCATAGGAACAGTAAATGCAGGGACTGGGTTGGAGCCTACACTCTCCCAGCTCAGCTCAGGACTCTTTCTGCCCCAACACTGCTTTATGCAGAGTGAGAAAGACCCACAGTTTGGAAATGAGACCTTGTCAGTGCTGTTCGAGTGTCTCTGTTCCTCTTATTTTCACCCACCCAGAGAGGGTGAGATCAAGACCTCTGCCTGCGGAGAGGGAGAATCTCACTTTGGATGGAATCTCTCTCCTCCTGCCTTTCCAACCTAACTCTCCCTTCGGGCTCAGAACTATGCCTTGTCATTCTTAAAGATCCTTCAGGCATCACTTCCTTCCAGAAGCCTCTGATCACCCTCCTGAAAACTGTACTAGGTGTAAAAACATCCTCCTCCAGAGCACTTAGCTCTGGGTTCTAATGCTTTGATTGTGTCAGCATCATCTTTTTAAAGATTTATTTTATTTACTTATGCATACAAGAAGTGGGGTCTAGGCCAGAGAACCAGCCATCTCTTTCCCTGCCCCCAAGGCACACACCTCCCTTCCCCTGAGGTGGCGACCTGACCTCCTTGTTATCCCTGAACCAAGGGACAACCCTTCCTGGACGTTGTCTCTGCCTGGAAGGCTCTTCTTCTGCCACCCCCATCCAGCTCCCCACCTGGTGTGGTTCATCCCTCTCTTCCTTCAGGTTATTACTGAAGCGCACCTTCTCAACCACCCTCCCACTTAAAATCCCCAAGCCCATTCATCCCTAGACCCATTCCTTGGTTTATTCTTCTCTATAAAACTTATCACCAGACAGGCATGTCTTAATTGTTCTGTTTATGAAAAAAATAGAAATCTTGATAAACTGATTAAGCCAAAAGTTTTGAACAAAGACCCAGAAGTTACTTTGGCTGTCTGCGTAAGCTGCTGATTAACTCTGATCTATAAAGAGAAAGAGCCTGGGTAGATAGAGGATTAAACACAGTTTTTCTCACATAGCTTGGTCCTCCCTGAAACCACTGCCTTTACCTAGGGATAGAGACAAAATATTTTCTTCTCAGAGGGTTTTGAGATCATCTGGTCAGATTAATGATGCATGTGTACCTCCCCTCCAGTAAAAAAAAAAAAAAAAAAAACTGGTGGTAAACCATTGTGGAGCCAATTCTTTGGTGCTTATCAGAAACTTTAAAAATGACCTAAACTTACAAGTACAAATCAGAAAAAGAAGATTAGAACTTTAAAAGATCTCTTCTCTTCTTGTCCACCAATGATATTATTTTTTTATTGGTATGTTATATATAAAGTATCACTACATAAATTACCATGTTCTTACATATTACATAATTTATTAATAAATTAACCAACAAATATTTCTGTTAGCACCTAATATGTCCCAGGCACTGTTAGATACTTAGATTCAGGAATGAGCAAAATAAATACCGTCTCTGTCCTTAAGTAGCTTCCAGTCTGGACGGAAGACCTATCATTAAGAAATATGGTAGGACCAGATAGGTGTCCTAGGATCCTAGGAAACCTTAGGAAAATTCTCCAGAGATATAATGTGGTTACATCAGCTAGCGCACGACCCATCGGGACTCATTCTGCTGGCTCAGCACTGTGGCTCTGCGATGTGAAAGGCTCCCAGGGTATCATTAGGGCCGCAGTGCTGAACATAACATTCTCGAATCATAAATACCATGTGGTCCCTGGTCTGTCAGGCCTGGGGAAGGTCATTCATGCATTCAATCAATCATTCTTTCAACTACTAGCTGCTGACCACTATAGCTATAAACAAAATGGGTGAGCCCCTTCCTGTCCCTGGTGGCCTTCAGTTCCACCTGGGGTTGCCCCTTCTAGAGTGTGAGCTGCAGGACTCCAAACCCCTCTCCCAGCAGGGCCTGTTGCCTCCCCACTATGCTTAGATTGAGCAAAGCTCATCCCTGCCCAGGAGTTGGGGGGCAGGCTTTTGCAGCTCCCACTGACCAGGGGTGATTGGGTTGGGTGAGCTGCCACATTCTGAAGGATAAAAAATAAATCATGCTTCCTACTCCTGTCATTTTCTATTTCTAGGCTTAGAAGAAAAAGGAGAAGAATTCGCCAGCATGCTTACAGAACTTCTCTTCGAATTACATGTTGCGGCCACGCCTGACAAACTCAATAAGGTCAGCACCATCTGAGTCTGAGTTTTTGTTATTTAAAAAGCAAAGGTCTCTGTTGTAAAATTCCAGAGGTCCACACCGGAAATGGAAAAACCCCAACCCCCAAATTGCACTTGGGGAAAGGGGAGTCTAAGGTCAGTAATTAAGATTCGAAGAGGCAATATAATGACTGTGATGGTAGAGAACATGCTAGACAGGGTCAGGAGGCCTGCATTTTAGTTGCAGCTTCACTAATAATTACCTTATGACCTTAAACGAGTCACTTCTCAAAATAGAATTTTTATTAGAACAGTGGTGATCTGCGCAATCGGGAAGGTCTTGGGAGGCAGAATCACCAAGGGGCTTTTTCACATTACATGTCCCTCCCTGCATGAAAATGACATGCCAGGATTAGCCAGAGAGAAGCACGTCAGCCGGGTGGACCACGTGCCCCTGTCCTGTCCCCCCAACCTAAGAACATTGCCTGTAACTAGAATCTGGGTTTCACCACCTGTTTTGCCAGTTAATACAGGTCTTGCTTCGGAGTTCCTTAATGAGGACACTGGTCATTAATTAAATTAAAACCATGTTTATTTTCCCCATTCTCTCTCTTTCCCCTTCTTTTTTTAGCAAGCAGTAGTTGACACAGGCCCTCACTTATCAGAGTGGATGAGGAAAGGGCAGAGTGAGGCGGTGAGGTGGAGAGATGAGTCATTTCTTTACCTGTGATAGAGGTCACGGATTCTGGTGGGTCAGTAACTTGAACACAGTGGGAAATTGCCTCATTCATCTCTGTGCGGCACCTGCCAGTGCTCAGGGGAGGGGTGTGCTCCTAGATCCCACGGGTTTATTTACACAGTCAGGTAAACCTTGGTCCCTAAAAGAGGACACACCAAGGATAGCTCTGTTGGTTTTGTCTCCCCAAATCTTCATGTCATTAACTTGTCACACACCTGACTTGTTAAACTTTGACATGTAAGCTTCAGCACAAGAACCAAGTTCAGAAACAGTTGTCACTTAAGCAAACAGCTTCAACTATAATACTGAAAGTTCAAAGGATTAAGCACAGCACTGTAAAGCTATCTGCAGCCTCTGCAGTATGAGTTCGATCCCCGGCCAGTCAGGGAGCTACCCACATGGCACTGCAGACCTCTCCTGACTCGCCTGCTGCACCCCTCAGCAGTGTATTTCACTTAGTCTGCCTGTTCTGTTCCTCACTCTGTCTCTGGTGAATCCTCTCACCCCCTGCACCTCTGGCCTGTACCCCAGTACTTATATGCATAAATAAATAAATCTTAAAAAAAAACCTGAAAGCTGGGCAAGTCTGCCCTTTCAACATTCAGGGATAACTGACAGGAAGGTGATTTTGACTTGTTCAGCTTAGCCATAAATTTTTAGGCCCAGGTTGCTCAAACTGCACTCCAGACAGGCGCTGGGTGACTTGCATGCCAGGCCTTCCCAGCACTCTTCTCTCTTCCCCTCGAGGGTGGACGATCTGGCCTGAACAGACCAGAGCACAACCATCCTTCATCTGCCCATTGATCCATTACGAGGGTCATGAAACATCAAGAGCGTCATGTGTTCTATCAGATGAGGAAATTTGCTTTAGTGGTGAACCTGCTAATTTTCTAACCTATATCTGTATATATCAAGGTCTGTTACTCTTTTATTGTTGATCATTAAAAGTGAAAAATATACTGTCCATCTTTCCAGATGGTGATCATTTTTATCCATAGCTGAATAGCATCTTAGAAAGATTTTTAAAAAGTGCTCCAGTCCTACAGTGTTCTCTACATACTTCTCTTCCTATTCTGTCCCTTTTCCTTACTTTATATTTGCCAGAAAGCAACAGGGTGTTTTTATGGAAGCTAAGGAATTGCTCCATCACTTCTTCAGTGTACAGAAAACCACTCTGGAAGGTTTAGGCCATCTTGACTTTAGTCTTAGAGCTGGAATTTCCGAGTCTCGGTAAATGCATGACACTGTGTGGGGGCCTTTGCAGGCCATGAAAAAAGCTCATGACTGGGTAGAAGAAGATCAAACCACAATGTCAGTAGATGTGGCAGAAGAGTCAGAGGAAAAAACTAAGATGGAAGAAAAAGAAGAGACACCCCAAAACCCCGAAGAAGACAAAAAGGAAGAACGAACTAAGACGGTTGAGGTAAAATTCATTTTAGATTGTCCACCTAAAAAGCAGTAATACTATGTTAACTTTATTAGCAGCCTAATTTTAAGTGAAGAGAGGTCATTCATTTTCATTTGTAACCTGTTCCACACGATAGAAATATGAGTATTAATGCAATAAATACTAAAATTTCTCTATGCCAAGACAATTTGTGACAACATGGATATTGTAGTTTTTCTCCATAGCTTTGTAATTATAATTCAAAAGAAAAAAGATCTTTAAGAATATAGTTGATTTATCTTTAGGGTAAAATTCCATCTTATATGCAAATTTGTAACTATAAAATGTCTTTATACCCCATAACTAATGAGGTAATTGAAGCTTTTTCAAAAAAATTTCATTGCTGCAGCTTTTATTCTGTAGTTTAATACATTTATGTGTGCATGATTTATATCCTGCCTATGTTCAAAAATGAGTTTGCAATAATTTCATTTTACATTGAATTTTAATTTTAGAGAAACTAACTTAAAATTAGGTTACTCAAAAGAAAAATGGGTATTGATGTCTATTCATTCAGCCTCCCTCTAGTACTAGTTCTTGAGTACCTACTGTGGTGTGCCTGGCCTCACTCTGAGAGGAGGAGGGCTGGGGTGTAAAGGACACTTTCCAAGTCCCTTGGGGCCCAGTGGTGCTTCCATTTCCACTTAGGAAACTCTTAGACAAACCTTTGGGTAAACTTTTTCAGGTTATATTTGTTTTTTCTCCATGGATTATTTAATGTTTTTTAAATATCCCAGAGTTTTAAAAAACGTATCTGCTAAAATTTTGGATGTTGTGGATAAGTTTATGGGTTTGATGTGGTGATGGTGTCACAGGGACATACTTACCTCCAGAGTTATCAAGTTGGGTACATTAAGTATTTACAGCTTTTTGTGTGTTAGTTATACCTCAATCAAGTTGTTATTTCTTAAACATCTGTTTAGTGAGTTATTTTCTTACGTGCATGTATTTCTCTCAGGATATCTGCATGCTATCCATCGAAAGTTTGGCAGAAGTCACAGCACGCTGTATCGAACAGCTTCATAAAGTAGCTGAATTAATTCTTCATGGACAAGAAGAGGAAAAATCAGCTCAGGACCAGGCAAAAGTTCTAATTAAGTAATTGCTACTTTGAATTCTTATTTTTGCAATTTCATATATATGTGCCATTCACACACACACACACACACGTTAAACTACTAAAAATTTAAACTTCAAATCAACTAATTCATTGTTCTGTGGTATCTTAAGAAATAAGAACTCTCCTAAGAACTTACCCATGTTAGCAAGAAAAATATTCATTAACTAGACATTCCAGGAATTATTTATGAAGGGATTTAGGGAAAGGCAGACTAAATCATTTAGAGCTAACTGACTTTTGAGGGTAATTATATTTTCAATATACTACATGAATAGAGAAAGGTCACCTTAATACAACTTCTCAGCTTACTTCACAAAAATAAGCAAACACCTCCCATCTCATCCCCACCCCATTGTTCCTAGAGACTTATACTAGCTCTGCGTGTTCTGAATTCTGGGTCTCATGGTTGCTGCTGTAAGCTTACACACATACTACATGTGCATGCATATGTACTGTCACTTGTTCTTCAATAAATAGGATCTATTATAATTTAATCTAGTGAAAAATTTATATACATGAAAGTAGTTGGTATGGATTTTCATTAAGATAGTTAACATGGAGCTGAAAAATACACCATTAACTTTTATGTGTCTGATGTATGTTATGTTATAGAAAATTGCACAAGCCCAAATACTCTCTCATTGTTACATAGATATAGGAACCAAAAATAAGAGCCCATAAAAATATATGCATATACACATCAGAACACATTCACTCATTTTTTTTAGCTAACTACTCTTATTTCTGCATTTGGCTTTGTAGTTTGGGGAACAAGATTTTAGTAGCAGAGGGCCTCCCAGGTGGCGCAGCGGTTGAGCGCTGGGTTGCGAAGCTGCCCGCAGCCTCTGCAGTGCTGGTTCGATCCCCAGCTACTCCCCAGCCACCGGAGGAGGGTCCCACATGGCGCGCAGACCTCTCCTGCCGCCCACTGCTCCCCTCAGCAGTGTACTTCGGTCCTTCTGCCTGCTCTGCTCCCCGCTCTGGCTCTGGTGAATTCCCTTACACTCCTGCGCTTCTGACTGTACCCAGTGCTTGTATAAATAAATAAATAAATCTTTAAAAAAAAAAAAAAAAAAAAAGATTTTAGTAGCAGAACCTTCCAAAAAGTCAGTATCAGTGTCTTTCTACTACTAGTGGCATTTTTCCTCACTTGTAAGGATTTGTCAACTAGCATAGATTGTCACATAAGTATGTGAAAACCAAAAATACAGGAACCACATGCTCCTGCTTTTAATATGCCCAGAAATAATTATGTTTTTACCTCAATGTATAGAATAAAAAGAGAAGGACAAAATAGGAGAAGTCTAAAATATTGCAGAAAGCATCTAGGTTTTATTTTATATCTCTGGTATTTATTTGAAAGAGAAGAGCTGAATTTCAGAAGTCCCTCAGTATGGCTAGCAGGACTTTTACTTTTAGCTCCTTTCTAATTTCCAACCCTAGTTGTTCTGACCTTCTGCACCAAGCAAATGGTGATAAGATTTTGCATTTGTTAATAAGTAACTCTCCACCTACCCACCCATAAACATTGACAGAATGGCCTGAGCTATCTCCTGATCTTATTTGTTACCCTTCTGCAGAGAAGTTTTGAACAGATGGAAGGAAGGATGGATAGAAAGATAGAGCTCAACAAACCCAAAAATGTGCCTTAAATAGAATCCCTATTTATCAAAATAAAGTTTTACCTCTACTGACTTCACCAATCTTTTAATTTGTATGATCCTTAATTTGGAGTTCTTGTTTTTCTAATAACAGTTTAATCTCTGTTCATACAAGTCATATACACTGATTATAAAAACAGACAGTACAAGCAGTGTTAGGTAGTTGGATGGCTTTCAGATTTTTTTCATCCCCTGTAATGTTATGACAAACATTGTAGTGGTTAAGTATTTGTGTGTCTGGCATTGTTTTCTTGGGAGAAAGCCCTAGAAGTGCAATAATAGCTGGAATAAGCTTAAGAGTTTTTATATGTCTTAAATACTTATTCTACAGGATCTTTTATTTTGATGTATCTAATGAAAACACGTTATCAAGAAATCAAGAGTTGGATTCCAGCTCCTCTATCACTGCTGCTTGTCCTAAGCAAGTTACTTAACCTTCTTCAATGTCCACTTTTCATCTATAAAGTGGGAATAACAATGTAACCCCTAAGGTCACTATGCGAATTAAATCTGTGCACACATACAACAGTACTTAACGGAGACCTCAATAAATATTCATTATTATTTAAAAATGATCAAAAAGGGCCTCCCCTGGTGGCACAGGCGGTTGAGCAGTAGCGCTGTGAAGCTGTCCGCAGCAGTGCCGGTTCGATCCTGGCAGGCCGGAGAGGGTCCCACATGGCGCAGCAGACCTCTCCTGTTGTGCCTGCTGCTCCCCTCAGCAGTGTATTTCGTCAGTCTGCCTGTTCTGTTCCCCGCTCTGTCTCTGGTGATTCCTCTCACCCTCCCGCGCATCTGGCCTTGTACCCCGGTTCTTGTATAAATAAGTAAATAAATCTTTTTAAAAAATGATCAAAAAGTTGGAGCAAAGCCTCTTGGAGGTGTCCTATCCCCCTCCCTATAGATGTGAAGCTCAAGCCTGGTATTTTCCTGCACACACTTTTGATTCTAAAAAGAGGTAGTGTGAGCTAAATGATTATTCTTTAATTAAGCCTGCAGAGAAAGGATTAAATTAAACTGATTGTGAGTCACAGAAGAATGCTGAGGAAAACATTTCTACGCGCATCTTCAAATTTGTGTGCTGTTCCTTTACATGAACATTGTATCAAAAAGCAGTCATTGTCTTGACAGTCAAATTATTGTATGTTATTGACAACCTCTTCTTTTTCTCATTTCAGATTAACTACTGCAATGTGCAATGAAGTGACCTCCTTATCGAAGAAGTTTATGAATTCTTTAACCACTGTTGGGGTAAGATGATAAGATTGATGACTTTTTCACCTTTTTTTAATTGAAATAATGTTGCCTTATGTTATTGTTGGTATTTTGGAAGCATAAGGTATCTCCATGCTGTTTTCCATAGAGGCTGTGCCAAATTTCCTGGCTACTGACAGTGGATGAGTGTCAGATAAAGGAAGTAAATAAAGACAGTGGAGGAATATAAGCAGCTTTTGAAAGTGTTCCCATTAAAGTGACTCAGCTATACCAATTCCCAGACCTCTTTTTTCTCTTCATTCAAATTTCTGGGTAGAGATTTGAAAGACTCATCAGTGTGAGTTAGATATCTAACTTGGTATCTCTCAGCAGTGACTGGGAAGGGGGTCACATCTTGTAGACCTGCCTGACTGCTAGGGTGCACCTCCCTCCACCCCAGGCCAAGGGCACTTCTCAAAAGAAGAGGAAATGGGACCTCCCTGGTGGCGTAAGGGGTTAAGCACAGCAATATGAAGTTATTCACAGCCTCTGCAGCACGAGTTCGAACCCTGGCCAGCCAGGGAGCTACCCACATGGTGCAGGAGACCTCTCCTGTCTTGCTGTCTTGCCAGCTGCTCCCCTCAGCAGTGTATTTCAGTCAGTCTTCCTGTTCTATTCCCCACTCTGTCTCTGGTCAATCCTTTCACCCCTCGCACCTCTGACCTGCACCCCAGTTCTTGTATGCATAGATAAATCTTTAAAAAAAAAGTGGAAATAATTGTGAATCTGACCATCCACAGATACATGTGTCTTGTACTTCTATAAATGACTCAGCTAATGGGAGGGAGCTACTTGTCACCTCTTTGTTCAGCTCTCAAGGAGTCTGGTTTGCTTCTATTTTGTAAAACATCAAATTTTATACCTGCAGCAGTAAGTAAAGCTTCCCCATCAGCAGGAGAGTGAAGAGGAAGGTGGAAGTTCGTTGACACAATAGGCTCCCTTAAATGCACTGTGTTTTCAGCATTGTCTAAGGGAACATGCCCATGGACTTTAGTGTAATGGTCAGGTTCACAGAGAGGTGTGAGGTCTTAGTCAGGATGGAATGGTTTGAGTGACTCAGCTTCCCAAGGCTTCCCAACACCCTCTTCTCACTCTGTCTACACAGTTCACTGGGAGAGGAAACTGAGGCCCAGGACTGATTTCCCCCAGGTGTGTCAATCAATGTGTGTCTTCCCATTAGACACATTAGATAGTCAACTGCTCACTTCTCTAAGGTTACTTAGTAATGGAGATGTGTGTGTCTGCTCATCTGTATGTTTATTTCATATGATTCATGTTAAATTTTTTTTTACATTTCTGGGTAATGGTCATGGTATTGCTTTCCATTCCTTTTTAACATGTTGTACTAGATCCAACACAGCGCTTCTCAAACCTTGATGTGTAAGCAACTCACTCAGAGAACTTGTTAAAATACAGATTCTGATTCAGTGGGTCTGTGAGATGATTCTGCATTTCTAACAAGTTTCCAGGTGATAAAATTCTCTGGATCCACAGTCTACATTTTGAATAGCAAAGCTGTAGCAGATGGGAGTGTGGTGAATTAGATATAGGTATGTAAAATATGTAGATATACATATTATAAGACACACATCATGTGTACATATATACAAATGTTTGGGAACACAAAATCAAGAAGACACACATTATCATTTTGAAAAAAGCAAAGCTAAATCTAAGTAGAGTTTACTGAAATGTGATCTCAGCACAACAATACCCTTCATCTTGTGCTGTGATGAATCATTTACATCAAGTCGTTGTTTCTGTTCCCTAAAACAGCCATTATTCATAACTTGAAGTTAATGAATGTCTATTGCTCTCCAGACTCTATTTAAATTGCCTGCACATCTCATTGATTCTGAAAACCAATGTCATTTTATTGTTCTCATTTTGATTGTATTTTAGAGGTTATTGATAATCAGATAAACATGAAAGCAAATACCGTAATGGATTTCCATGTTACTTACTAAAATGACTGGGTTTTTAAAAAGGTTTTTCCCAAGACTCCATTATGGTTTCCCCAGTAAAACATTACTTTGACCTCAATGATGTCAATGAAAGTGGGTTTCTTTGGATGCATATATTTCATTTATATACTTTTGTTTACCATAAAGTCTTCTGGGCATAGTGCCGGAAACCAGTCTATTAACATTGCCCTCTCTCTTTCTAGCGCCTTTAATTATTTATTGTCTAAGAGTACATAGGCCATTAGAGATAATACATTTGATTGATAGACCGGTAGTGGAAATAATAAAGATGATGATACTAATACGGCCTCTCACTCTTTGAACACCGACTTTGTATCAGACTCTGTATTCTGTGTTTTGCATATATTCTTGTTTTGCAAGCAAGGGACTCTACAGATCTGTTAGCAACTTATATTTAAGTGTGTTTTAATTCTGCTGCTGATCTAGAGACACAGCCTATAACCATGTATCCATGTTTGCATTTAAAGCAAGAAAAAAGACTACTTATAGGTTAGGACTGTGACTAGGGTAGGGGAAGACAGTACATATTTAACTCACCCACACACAAAAAAGACAAACTATTTGTGCATCTATCTAGACAGATATTTTAATGCAATTTTCAAATATTAATTACTTTTTATTGTAGTAAAATTTATAAAATGTTAAATTTACCACCTCAACCATCTTCCAGTGTACAGCTTGGTAATGTTAAGTATATTGACATTGTTGAGCAACCAATCTCCAGAACCTGCTCATCTTCTAAATCAGAAAGTCTATATTCATTAAACAGCTGCTCTTCATCTCGCCTTCTCCAGTCCCAGCCATCATCTTCTTCATTTCCATCTGAATGAATTTCACTACTCCAAGGGCCTCATATAAGTGGACTTACACAGTATTTTTCTTTATTTTTATGATTGGCTTGTTTCACTTAACAAATATTCTCAAAGTTCATTTATGTTGTAACAAGTCAGAATTTCCTCCTTTTTTTAAGGCTGAAATTATTCATTTGATGTCTGTACAACAATTTGTTTATCCGTTCATCTGTCAATAGACATGTGGGTTACTTCCACCTTTTGACTATGATGAATAGAGAACAGCCGTGTTCATGATAAACTTAATGGTAGAGAATTCTCATGAACAACACACTCAGTGGTGTGTGTATGTATGTGTATGGGGGGGTGATCTTATCACAATCTACCTACTCGTAGAGACTTATTTAATGCAATATTTTTTAAATGTAAATGCAAAAAAATTATGATGAACAAAATTACAAATTTTTAAGTAAAGGAAAGATCTGACCCCATAAAACTCAACCTCATTCACCTCACCCTAATCCCAGACCTACTACAAGGTTGCTTTGTTTCTTTGTTTGTATTTTTATTGAAGTAACATTGGCTTATAGCTTTATAGGGGTTTCAGGTGCACAGCATTATGGTTCAACATCTGTATACAATACATCACCATCAAATGGTCACATTTGTTTATTTTTGCTTTTTTTTTTCCTTGCTGCTGGAGACAAATCAACAAAGCTTTTGTCAGTGAACTTATTGCCTGTTTTCCTCTATATATTTTCTGATTGCAGGTCTTATATTTGAGTCTTTAATCCATTTTGAATTAATTTTTGTGAATGGTGTAAGATAATGGTCAAGACTTAGCAAGCTTTAATTTAAAAGGTCTGAGTTAAAATTTCTAGAGATGTGACCATCAACAAATTAACCCGTACCTCCCTCCCTCCTATGATTTCTGTCCAAATCAAATGAGATTACATAGGGGAAGCACCAAATACAAAAGCTGGTCTGTAGTAAGAGTGTCGTTTCTCCTTTCTGCGATGAGAAAATGACATTTAAGTTGCTAAGACATTTTACAGTATGACAACTTTCCTTATACCCAGAGTCTAGACATCCAGAAAGGATCTGAGTTCAGGATTCTCATCACAGTAACTGCTTTGCACCTTTCAAAATAATCACTGAAAGGTGATCCCAGGAAAAGTTAGTGGCCACTGACCCAACCACCTTTTAAGTAATAGGTGCTTGCTATCCAACTGTCGATCTCCTCCTTCGGCCTGGAACAGGGGACTACTCTTCTTTTGGCTCACATATAATCCCCCCTTCCATTCTGGGATCTGTAAGGAATAAATCTTGTGACTTGACTTCTTTTATGAGAGTGTATTGAAACTATGCCTTCAATCACAGCAACCTAGGGATTTCACTTCCCCAAAGTGGGGATGCAGATACTGCTACCTTCTGCCCACATATGGTGGCTTGTTCCTCCTCATTTTGAAGGCCATGATTGCTTGGCATACTAGCTGTGGGTTCTTCAACACACTCTCCTTCCTCTCTAAAAAGACTCCTCAACAAAGCTAGCATATCATATTTTATGTAGCAAGTCTTGTAGTATGTGTGTCTAATCTGTCAACTTCATCCTTTTGATCCACAGGCCAACAAGAAGGCTGAGGTCCTTAACCCCATGATCGATAGGGTATTGTTAGAGGTAAGTGGACCTTGGAGAGAACATGCTTCTGAATCAAAGCAAATGTTAGAGCTACATTTTTTTGTCTTTCTCCCAGGCAGCAGGTCTTATTGCAATTCTAAATCTTATCATCAACAGTCTTTTCTTTTTACTAGATTAGTACAGCTCAACCAGCTATAAATCCTCAGGTAAAAGAACAATACTTAATCTCAAGAATTCCTGATTATACAGACAAATGCTATGCAGTCACATTACTTCTGTCACGGTTTCAAACTTGCCACCATGTTTGACACCAGATTTAATACAATGATTATTGGCTGCAATGAGGGATTCTTCTCAATGGTGATTTTTGTAAAAATGGGCACTTGCCTCCATTCACAATAACCTTCACATTAGCTGGGTCTGAACTCCAGATTGATAAAAATGACAGGTAGGAAGTTCAGCCTCTACTCTTCCTGTGACCAGAGGAACCCATCTCTGTGGCCTCTCACTCCATGGCCTGTCCTCACCTCAAGACTTGGTAGTATGGATAGGAAGCTGCCCCAGTGCTGCTATGGTTCTGCCAGAAGCAGGACAAAAAAGAAAAGACACTCAAGAAGCTTTCCCATTATTGAGTCATAGACACTGTGTTCTACCAGTAGTTGGTAGGGGAAAACCTTCCTTTAGGGCCCAGACTCTAAGAAACAAGCACATCTGTAGCCACAGGGCACCCCTCTGAAGCCATCAGGGTGTTACTCAGGGTGTCAAGAAACTAAGTTTGAACATGGGCAATGCCTATCCAATAGTGTTCTGCTGGTCTGAAGTAGCTGTCAATTGCAAGAATTGGAAATGACCAAACTTCCATGTTAGGGAGGATTTCCTATATATTTATGGCATTTTTTTTTTTTTAAGGAATTGTGCCTTACTGTTAAGGAAAACAACCGAGATACAATAATAACAAAATGGTGGCCCCCAGTGTTATTATTTAGGGTGTAGCCACATACTGGGCTGGAGTAGACCAGAGGGACAAGGAGCTTAGGGGAAGATCCTAGGGGACAGCCAAAGCTAAGAAGAAATCTACGCAGTCAGAGGCAGAATAAGGAACAAAAAATATCTCTTCTGTGGCCATCCAGAAGGGCATTAGCGGATGAATTTACCTAAGTCATGAAGAATATGAGGCCAAATGTTTATACATTCCCACAGCACAAGTTCTCCTAGGTTTTAGTTACCCTCAACTTTACAACCCCCTCTGTCTGATACAGTCCGTAAGGGCAACACAGAACATGAATAGCAGTATTAGATATCCAAATCAAGTTGGAAAGGCCAACATGCATGGAAGGATGACAGTGCTCAAGGATTTGCCATGAATAATTGCACAATAATATCCTCAGTTAGCTTGATGGAGACCCTTCTTGTTTTTTCATCTCTAGATTTGTCTATCTATAGGTTAGGACAAGCTAGAGCCTCTTCATACCAGAAGTTTGTGTTACTTCAGGGCAGTGGAGTTAATCCTGGAAGAGGGTAGGTAAGACTAGACTGATTGGGACATAAATATACATACATGTGTGCAGCCTAAAAGCCTATAGGATGTCATTCCTCATTTTGAGTGAATTTCTTTCTCTGTAAGTATAGATAATTCAGAGCTGGACACACTCTATCCAAAGGAGTGTGTTTACATTTGCTTTAAGCAGCAACATTACAAAAACAATATAAAATGTGAGGTTTGGGGAGAGGGAACATTAACGAGTTGGAAAACTTGTCAGGATTGTACTACGAAAATAAGGTGATTTTTTCAATATCTACCCTTCAATTTCTAATTTTCCACATTTCTGCTCTCTCTTAGGGCTGCAATAGCACCACATATGTGCAGGATGCCTTGCAGCTGCTGCTGCCTATTCTGCAGGTCTCACACATCCAGACCAGCTGTTCAAAAGCACAGCCGTGACCTGGCCAGACTCCATGGAACGGAAGTTGTCGCAGGCTCTGCTGCTTTGACATGTACCATTGAAGGAGATGTTTCTACCCACCAGGTCACAGATGCCCATTGATGACACTACCAGCAATTTTGCACAGACAAGTACTGAGAATCCAAGTGTAAAGAGAGTATCATTACTGTTAATGTATATGGTTGTTTTTACAAATAATTGTGTTTTCTTTGTGTTAATTTAAACATATATAATTTCATATTAATTACCTATAAACTGAAATTCATTCACAAATATCCACTTCCATTTTCATGGTCAAGGACACTCTATTTAGGAATTCATGGGCAGGACCTAAACCTTTTTTTAATCCTTTAAATGTCCACCTGTACATTTCCCATTCTTATAGTAATACTGTAAGTCAATTGTCATAGTGAATTTAGTTTTGTTACGTACATGTCATGGACTTATAGATTTTACACATCATGGTTAAAGAGGAAACTAAGTTATTCTTTAGGCATTCATTTTCAAAATAAACATGCTTTGAGCCCCTATTGAATGTTCACATTAGAGAAACATTGTCTCACCCTAGTAAAGACACATATTCTGAAAATGTTTAAAATAATTTTTAATATGCTTTTAAAATATTAATAAAGTTTCTAACCTTAAAAAATGTGAATAATAAGATAAATTTGGTGGGTTTTTTCAATGTTCTACTCTTCAATTTTTCATTTTCAAAAGTTCACTCCTTGAACTTTTTTCATCCCAAATTTATATATGGGGTGAAAATATATATGAAAAGTGGTACTAAAGAGTATTTAGTTTAAAATTCTAATGACCATAAGTACATTACTAGCATACTTAAAAAGCTTGGAAGTATTCAAATAGAAAAGTAAAGGGGTTTAACCATTAGACACCCAGGACTGCATTTTTTTAAGTGTGCGTCTTTAAAGTTGAGTCAAGCTGTTCCATGAATACACGGATAACTCCCACTGGTCACAAATACTATCACTGCTTCTAAAGGACCAAAAATGCCGATGTGTAAATTGATCAGCTGGTTATATTGATCCTTGGGTTGCGCAGATAGAAGACCCTGGAATGGGGAGCAGCATTGCCCATGGGTGCTGCTCCTGAGCTCTGCTCTTCCTTGCAGGTGAGGGGACCGTGTAAGGACTCTATTTCAGAGCCCCATGGACGTCCCTTGCTCTCTGGCACACGCCTTACCCAGTGGCACTCTCCAGGGCACATGAAATCTGTAGTTTTTCAAAGATGAAAATCCCTTGCACCTTTGCTTTTATTCCTCTGCTAGAACCAACTGCCTTGATTCCATATATGCGAAGGGACATTTTAATACCATCCTACTTCTTATTAGCATTTCAAATTTGTCTGTATCCTGAATTTCATTTGTGTATCTCCTGAAACAGCCAAATAGAAAACATAAGAGCAATTTATTTACACCCTGGAAAGAAAAGTTCTCTGAGGAATCAATTAAAGATGCTTTTTTTCTACTTGCTTTTTGATTGCCTAAAGTGTTTCTGTGATTAAGTCTAGAGAACAAGTAACTGATGAAAATGTTGCATTTACCTGTTCATAAATTTTATACTGTTATAGAGAGAGCAGAGGAAAGAACTTAGATTTATAATTTCTTTACAGCAGATTTTTAGCATTAGATGGATTTATAGATGTTAACCAAAATGTAAAAGAGAAACAAATATTTTCAAGGAGCTAGATTCCCAGACTTAAATTTTAAGCCTAATTGCACCCATTTGGTAGACAGAAAAATTTTTAATCTTAAAAGAAAACAGAAATCTGGTCCCCCAAAAATAATAATAAAGGATATAATTACTCTTCAAAAAGTGATTGACATTATTTCTATTGTATTTACATATCTTTAAATAGAAGGTTGCCATTGAAAATTTAGGCTGAGAGATGATTCCTGGGGCTTAGCTTTATGGCCTATGAATTATGTTATTTAAGAGAGAATAAAGACTGAAAATATATCCACCCTTCAGAATTGCTTTCTTTTAATACTGCCTTTCACCACCACTTTTAAATAATTGCTTCCTTGCTTTGCTTTAAAACCAGGCAAAGCACAGATCCAGATCTGGGCAAATGTCAATCAGTTCCTGAATGAATGATTTAGCAGGCTTACTTTGGAAGTTTTATATTCCTTCAATTATCCTTTACCAAATTGGGTTCATTTTACTCCATGCAATTACCCTGAACAAGTGTGCCAGGTTTTTTCTTACATCACATGCAAAATAAGCCCTAGTCTAAATAATGAATGTAGTTCTGTGCCTTATTAAGTAAAAACATCAAAAGCATATTTCAAATTCAAAGCAAAATGTGTCCAAGAAAAATTGCTTTTAGTATTGATACATACAGCTCTGAAGGGCAAAATTGAGTCCCAAAGCTTACCAAAGAGACCAAGCTTAAATATTCCACCCCACTGAGAACAGAAGGCTCTTCTCTCTGGGCCTCACATCAGGCTGCGCATGAAGCTCATGGTTAAATGAACGGTGTGACTAGCCAAGGCCAAGGCGGGGTGAGCGCAGGTACACAGCAGCCTTAGGAGCCGTCCTCCATGGCAGAGCCCGGGGGATGAAGAAGCCCCAGCACTGGGCAGGCTAAAAAAGGGTGCTAAACATAGACTAGAGACCTGAACCCAGAAATGAACAGGTTGCCCAGGCTTTACAGAAGTCAACTGCTCCCAGGTGCCCCTACAGCTGGGACAAAATCTTCTGTGCAAGTTGGCATCCTGCCCTTGAGTTAGAAATAAAAGCAGAAAGACTGCAGTCATAGCCATCCCAGAATGGCAGTGGCAGTGAGAATATCTCAGGGAAGAAATGTGAAAATAAACATTTCTCCTCTTTCCTAAAAATAAGCATAGAATATATATACTATGATATATATCATATGATTATACTATAAAATATATATTATATTATAAAACAAAAATGATTCCATATAGTATGCATATAAAATGCTATTCTATATATTCTATACAATAAAATACATATTTTCTACTAAAGAATATACTATATAAAATATATATTATACTATAAAATACATACTATTCTCTATATATGCATATGCTGAACAGATGGGGTAAATCATAACACATTTAATTTTATAAAATCAGTTATTCTTTAGGATCAAGCTAACTTTTTGTATTATAAAATTTGCCCTCTGAACTTCTTCTTAAGCATTCCCTACATTCTGATATTCAGACCCAGGCCAGGCTTCAACTTGGTTTCCTAAATTATTGTGTGTAAAGACACATAGTTAGAGATCATGTTGAAAATCCATCTTGGAACGGATATTTTGCCTTGGTTTTATGGTTGATTAGAATTCAAAATGCCACAGGCGTGGATTCAGACCAGCCATTCTTCAGAAAAGAAAAATCATGTGGCTAACTAAATTATTTTATGTTGCTAGATATCTCATAACTTATTCAGATTTATGTTCATTGTCTGTATGTGCACTTTATAATAGATGTTCTATACAATATCTGCTACTAACAAGTCTGGGGAAGACACCAATCTATTCCTTTTTTTCCCCCTTACCATCCTGAAATTTATCTGAGTTATTGTACCCTCTGAGCACTTTATCTTTTGCAGTGATTAAATTATTACAACCCAACAGCAAGAATTATTGATGATGTTTCTGTGTTTTAGGGTCACTACAGAGTGGGAATAGAAGCTGATTATGGAGCATCAGATTCTGTGTTGGGATTTAAGCTACATTTACCTTTGTCTGGATGGGAGAGTATTTTTTTCTGCATGAGCTGTCTGCCAAAAAGCAATTGGATTATATCTGCTGTGGTCACTGCTGACTCACTTGACAAGCCTGTCTCTTCTATTTGTCTCAAAGGACTTCTATATTGCAAAAGAATAACATGTACATTTCTTATATGCCTTCATTGAGCACAGAAGTTTACAGAGATTCAGAGAGGGTCTATCTCCCTGCCGTGGATTTTACCGCTAGATTTCTAGAGCTGCCATTTGGAGGGAAAAGTCAATGTAGAAGCCAAGGCCAGATGGATGAAGTTGGCAAAAAACAAAGCCAAGTCTCTGACTTTGAGTCCCTGCCATCTTTATCCTTATTCTCTTGCAGGAATTTTTTTCTTTTTGACAAGCAGTAAGTGCCTCTCTTCCAGATCAGCTTTAAGCATCCTGTCTTTTTCCTTATCTCTCCTCTTTCTCTACATGTATATTCTCCTTTCCCCATTTATCTCATCAGAAAGCAATCCACCCAAGAGATTTCAACAATAAAAACTAATGAGTATTTTTTATGTGCTGGGCACTGTCCTGAGTGTCTTCCATGCGTTATCCCATTGAATCTCCATAATCACCCTATTGGGTAGATATTATTACAATCTCTACTGCACAAATGAGAACACTGCGACCCAGAGAAGTTACGTAACTTAACTAGTGTTACATAACTAGGAAAACAAAGCCAGGATTCAAACCCAGGTCAGTGTGACCTGACTAGCTAGCATTTGAAAATATTGTACAGAGCATCCCAACCAAAGAGAAACATAGGGTGTTATTTTTAGAGACATCTGAGCACATATGTTTAGCTCCCTTTAGACTGTGGGATGGATTTGTAAATGAAAGATTTAGTCATCAGCCTTGGTTGTTTCATGCAACTGAAAACAAGCAACAATTAAAGAGACCCAGAGTGAAGCCATGCCAGGATACTGGACCTCAGGGTGGTATCAGCACTGGCCTCTTACCCTTCACAGACTCTTGGAGGGAGCAAGAGTCCCTGGTCATCATGGCCACAGCATCCTGTCTCTCAGGTGCTTTGATATTCCTAAAATGTCTCCATTTCCTCCCTCTCCCCTATTTGGTGCCAGGGAAGCCCATTTGTAGATTGCCCTTCCCCCAAATCCTTAACCCTCTGCTCCCTGCCTGGAACGTAAGGTTTTATGCTTTCCTTGACTTAGAGATTACCGGCTTGTCCAGGCAGCTTTGAGCTGAACCTTCAGTACCAAGCACTGTGGGATACTGATAAATGTTTTAAAGCTCTACTGAAAAAATGCCTTCTTGCCCCTGAACTTGGTTCTGTTCCTATTAAGCTCAAGAAATGATGGTGGTTGGTCATGATTGTGAAGAGGAAGAGGAGGATCATGGTGGAATTACCGTAGGGTAAGGAAAAATGTCAGGCTTTTCTGCCCTCCCGCCATCAGGATAGATGATGGATTCTTGTCCTGAATGCATGCCTGATGGTGGCCACCTGGAGTAGGGTGTGGGCATAGGTAGATGGGATTCACCTGGGCTAAGACTGGACTTTTAAGGGCGGCGTCACGGGAACGCCAGCAGAAGCCGAAAGAGAAGCCAAGAGAAGAGCTGAGAAGAAGCCGAAGGGAAGCCGAGATCACCAGAGAGCCCAGATAGAGTGAGGATTTGAGTGCAGGCCCCCCTGCACCCCTGCCTGCTGTGTACCGGGTAAATCCCAATAAAAGCCTGCAAAAGCCACTGAGGACTCTGACTCCTCCTTTACCCGGTCTGCTGGATCATAGAAAACCTGCTCAGTGGCCCTTCCTGCTTTACAAATACTTATGTATTAAAGTACTTAATTTATTAAGCATTTACCATGTAAGGAACACTTACTATGTGCCAGACACTTTGCCTCTCTGATCTCATTTAATCTCTAATGTCAACCTCATGAGAGAGTTGTTATTTTTTACAGATATAATTTATGCATACAAGAACTGGGGTGTAGGCCAGAGGTGTGGGGGCATTGAGAGGATTCACCAGAGACAGAGTGGGGAACAGAACAGGCAGATCTATTGAAATACACTGCTGAGGGGAGCAGCAGGCTAGACAGGAGAGGTCTGCTACACCAGGTGGGTCAGCTTCCTGGCTGGGGATCGAACTCATGCCACAGTGGCTGGCCATAGCTTTATAGCGCTGGAACTTTAACCCCTGCACCACCAGGAAGGCCTGAGTTGTTAATTTTTTTTTTTAATTGAGATAAAAAATTAGATTTTTTGCCACTGGCTTACCTCATTGTTTGTATTTTGGGGGTTTAGGAACCCCCCCTCAGATGCTGATACCATAGAACTTCCATCCACAAAGCACCCAGTCCACCACCATGGTCCATGGTGCTCCCTTCCTACTTTGTGCTAACCCCTCTCTCTTCCCATCCCCCTCTGTGTGCCTCAGTTCTATAGTCAGCTTTCAAGGATTAGTTTTTGGTTTTGGTCTTGTCTGACTCCTTGTTTTCTCTGTATTCCTCATATAAGTGACACCAGCTGGTATTTGTCTTTCTAGAAGCCCTCTGACTGAATACACTTGCTGCTATTCTTATACCCATTTTGCAAATGAAAAGTAAGCCCACAGATGATAATTTGCTTAAGCTTAGCCAACTATTCCTTGAAAGGCTAGGACTTACACCCAGCCAGTACATAAAATGCTAAACAGAGTCAAGCAGATATCAGCCCTAAAAAAAAAAGTTGCTCATTTTCACTTGGATTAAGTTCCCTGCCAGTTGCTACCTGGGCTTACCTCTCTCTATCCTGTAGCCTCAGGCAGAGACAAATTGCTCCACAAATCTCCCTGTCCAAATGCTAACCACATTTTCCCCTCCAGAGTCTCCTATCCTGAGGGAAAGCGGTGGTCTGCATGTCCCATTCTCCTCCATGCTATAAACTTCATGTTGAGAAACCTACTTCTCACTGGAAGCTAGGATTGCCCTTTGACAAAGGAAAATCCCACAGCCAGAAAAGGTGTTAAAGGTAAGAAACCAAAAGATGACCTGCAGGGCAGAAAGACTCTGGCTGTTTCTGTCAGAAAAAATCATTTGGTTCTAGAGGGCATCTTAGGGATGCAAGAGATACTTCTCATCCAAACAGCTTCACAGCTCTCTCCCTCACTTCTTTCAAGTCTTTATTCAATTGTCCCCTTCTTTTTTTTAAGATTCATATGCATACAAGAACTAGGGTACAGGCCACTGCAGTGGGGAGAGGGGTGAGAGGATTCACCAGAGACAGAGGGGGGAACAGAACAGGCAGACTGACTGAAATACACTGCTGAGGGGAGCAGCAGGCGAGTCAGGAGATGTCTGCTGTGCCGTGTGAGTAGCTCTCTGGCCTTGGATGGAACTTGTGCTACAGTGGCTGCAGATAGCTTCATAGGTTGCATGTTAACCCCTTACACCACCAGGGAGGCCCTCAATTGTCCCCTTCTTAGTGAGGTCTCTTGTGTTAAATTGCAACCTTCCTATCATTTTATATTCCCTTTCTCTGTTTTGTTTTGTTTTTCTTCTGAGGGTTTATTCCTATTTAACACTTTTTATATCTTCCTTATTTGTCTATTATATGTCTTTTGTACTAAAATGAAAATTCCATGAGACAGGATTTTTGGTTATGTCTGGAAAGAGGAAAAATTTCTTATCCCTCTGGATTCTTCTCAAATTGGTCAAATAATCAAATTAAGATCAGGTAGATTAGTAGGAGAAAAAATGTAATTACATGTCTATGATGGGGAATCCACAAAGACATGTTAATTTCAAAGCCAGCGGGGCAAAATGGGGGAATAGATCCTGGGTTAAGGAATGACATAAGGACCTGGGGTTTCAAGGAGAGAGGAAGGAGACTCATATGATGAGGAGAGAGTGACTCAAATGACAAAGACCAGATGCTCTGTAATTAGATGTTTCCCCTGCCATACAGATAGTTTTTTCCAATAGAAAGGTTACTTCTGATGATAACCCTAATTTTGGGTAATAACGCCAATTTTCATTCTTCTAGGTAGTTAAGGGACTAAAATTTTCTCATGAGCCAGCAGGACCTCAATTGACCTCTGCTCAAAATAATTTGCATAACAAAGTGGCACACTTTGGGAAGGCCTGTTCTAAACAGCTAAGTGGGAAGGG